GGTCTTATTGTCTAAAATGAATTACACTGCCCCCTCCCACCTTCCTTTCTCCTCTTTGGGGATAAGTGGATTGAGGCAAAACCCCTAGAGACTCGTTGGAGGATTCTGGGGGTTCTGATTAGCCCTGTTCTCCCAGCTTAATTGTGGAGCTTGCTTTCTCTTCTCTCTCCACTGATAGCTGAAGTGGCATGTGTCCTGCCCACCCCCACTCCACCCCCTTTTGCTATAGGAACAAGATTATCACAATGCGGCCCTGTGAATCAATTTTCTCTCTATGTGCTGATGAAAGTGTAATTCATTCTTAATCAAGCTGCCTTGCTGCTGCAGGCTTCGTGCCGGAATACATTTGGTTATCCTCCCATCACTTTGGGAAGCAATTCCCCCCAAAAGGACTTTTAGAGGAGAGCTGGAAGGAGAGTTGGCAGCCCGCCCCGTGCTCTGTGTTTCCAGCAGGGGGCGCTCTTGTGAGTGACGCTGGAGGAGCCTTTGTAGCTGGAAGCCTTCCAGGGCCCGCTGGAGGGTTGAGCCCGGTGTTTGTCACAGGTGCCTTCCAGGCTTGCCGTCTCCAGGCCCTGGGGCCTTTTCTCGAGTGAGCAGGTGCCGGACTGGTGTGTCTGGATGGGCGGCCTGACACTCTCAGCCTGTGAGTGGGGGCCAGTGGAGTCTGTGTCGTGCATGGATGTCTGGGTTAGGGACAATCTGCTGGGTGCCAAGGCCTTCGTAGGGTCTAGGGGTCCAGCCACCTGTTCTTTTTAAGGAGACAGATGTGTGTCTGAGTCGGAACTTGTTTAGATGGGGATGTGTCCGTTTGTGTTATGCCCACATGCAGTTGGATTGCTGGAGGAGGTCTGGCTCTGCCAGGTGGCTCCCCTCCTGCCCTTTCACAGCCTGGTGGCTGTCACCAACAACTGGCAGTTAGATGGGAGAAATAGGTGGGAGGGAAAGTGTCCCTGCCAGGGCTGAGTCTTTTGGGGCTGGGCAGGAAGGAGACGCCAGGCCCCAACAGGTGGACCAGAGTTCCTGACAGTAAAACAATGCTGTCTATATCTGCATCAGAGAAAGAAAGGCCGGCTGTCTTCTCGGGATAGAACTAGATTAGTGACAGACTTGAACAGCTGGTTCAGTCAAGAGAGAACCTAATTCCTTCTGTATTGTTCACACGGCTGATTTTAATCAGATGTGAAAAGGCACAAGAGAGTGGGAGGTCAGCGAGGTCAGTCTAGTGCCGTGCTCTTTTGTCCTCTGTGGGAAACCAGCAGGAGTGCTTGGGCTCTTTGGAAGCACACAACCCTGGCGGTTTCCAGCCCTCCCCGCCACTGGCCCTGCCTGGTTATGAACGTTGAGGGACGTTGTGTGGCTGCTGTGGCCAGTGGTCACAAGTGGGCAGAGCTCCACGTGCTAGTCCTCCGAGGGACTTAAAGGAAGTGGGTCGCATTTGACAGACCCAGAATGCCTCAGGTGTTGTCTGCGACAGCCCTGGTTGTGTATCCAAGTCCGAGGCTTTACTGCTTCGCCACCTACTGAGATTTGCAGGGCTTTTCCTGGAGAACCTGTGAGAAGCCGGGGTAGGGCACCAGTGCGTGTGAGGAGTTCCCCTTCCTCCTCGGTGCCACTTCTCAAGCAGGCAAAGCTGGGGGCGGAAGGGGCTGTGCTGGGCGACCAGGGGAGCATGGACGCCGCGTGGCATGGGAAGAGGTGGCTGGGACTAAGGACAGTGGCTTCAGTTCTCAACTAACAGGCCTTAGTCGAGTCATCTGCGTGGAACCTTCCAGCTCTAGAAGCAAAGGTGCTTCTTTGCTGTTGGGAGAGAGTCATGCCAATCACTGAGCAAGAAAACTGACCAAATGCTGACAGGGAAGGGCCCATGCACCCTGGGACTAAGAGAGTTACGGGGAAGCCAGAGGATTGTTGTTTGTTGGTTTTCTTGAGTATGAAAAGACCCACAGAGGTAGAGGTTATTTTATGAAGGACGACTTTTGTACTGTTTTCTTCGGAGCCATCGTCTCAGTTTCATGAATATCTCCTGCCTGTGGCTGTGCAAGGAGGGCAGTTTTCAGAAGCTGAGGCCGTGCCCTGAGGGTAGAACTCCAAGCTCTCTTTAGAAAACCGTGGGCCCCTTTGGCTTCTGATTCCTGAGTTCATACCAGGGGGAAAGCAGCCCAGCTTCTCCTCACAGACCTTCCCTACCAGCTCTCCAGCTCAGGCTGGTGGCATCCGATGGAAGACTCAAGGGAGCACAGACTCCGGAGGCGGCCATGTTGATGTCTGAGGTAAGGGATGCTGCTGAGGTAAAAGTGGCCCCAGGTTGTCGCGGTGACTGCGGGGGCTCCGGCTTCAGCAGGCATGGAGCTCACACAGTGGTTTCCTCTGAACCGCAGTGCTCCAAGTGGACTTGAACCTGCGAGGTAAAAGGTGCAGCCAAGCGAGGGTGACAGGTGGCTCCAAGCACACCGGGCGCCAGCCATCCCTACTCACCAGCCCAGGTCCCTGTCCACTGGGGCTGCCTCTCCCTCTGAGACTGCCAGCACCTCTGAAAGGCTTCACCCCCTCCTTTTGCTGAGGCAACATGTCTGTCATGCTTGCCTCTTTCTGTGAGGTCAGGAATATTTGACTCCCCTCCGGGCTGAGGTGAAACTTGTATCCTTGAGAGAGAAGAGGTGAGCCTGTGCCACCACGGTGCCAGTGGGAGATGTCCCGCCCACCCGAGGAGCAGTCTGCCTCCTAATAAGCACATGATGTGGTAACTGGGATCTGGTGCCGCAGGAGCTGCCTGAACCCTCCCCTGGCACCTCAAGGGTACAGCCAGACAAGCTCCCCGGCTGGAGGATCCAGGAATTCTTAGAGCCGGCAAATGGGCAGGAGGCTCTCGGAGGCTCCCCGAGACCTGGGCGCTCTGCCTGCTGAGGTAGCCAGGCCTCTTCTCATCCCACCTCAGAGGCCACAGACACCAGCACCACACATGACCGCCGCCTCGCGCCCACCCCTTTCTAACCAGTCCCCTGCTCTGCCTGCCACTGAAAGGAGAGGAGCCAGGGCTGGGGGAGGGGAAGCCTGCCGTGTGATTTGTACTAACAGCTGTTGAGCTCTCAGCGTGTGCCAGACGCTGCACGAGCTTACACGCGTTTCCCGATTAACCCGCACATCACCCTGAGAGGGAGGGCTGCTGTTGTCACGCTTCCTGGTGAGGGACTGAGACCATTGGGGGCCACACAGTTGGTAGGTGGCCCAGGTGGGAGATGGGTCCAGACAAGGAGTTGACCCTGAGTGGCTTTCGCCAGGGCCCTGTCCCCTGCAGGATCAGGAGCACGCCTGGTGAGAGGACCAAAGTCGTCTTAGACGTGTGCGAGGAAAGTTATGTGGAGACATTGGGTCTCACACTTTTCCATGAAAACTCTGCCACAATAGGATTTTGTCCTGGGCAGTTAGTTCCCTGGCAGCCAAAATCCCTCTCTTCAGTCACATCCTGGTTCACGGTGCCACAGGACACACCATTCCTGGCCCTTTCCCTCTGACCATTTAGGGAGAAACCCATCTCAACCCAGCTCCCTTCTGGAAGGAGTTCTGTGTCAGCACAGAAGTAAAGCACCCTTCCCATTCCCTTCAGAACCGGGCTTTCCACAGGGCTTCAGAGTCTGGTTCCACCGAAGAAAACAGCTCAGACGCCTCTCTGCATTCAGCTTATTAGTCAGGAACTTCAAGGCCAAGAGCTTTGGCAGGATTTAAAGTGTCGCTCTCAAGCTGTCTCCTTTCGAGCACACTAATGCCGCCTGTCTTTTGATGGTGAAGTGCTTGGTTTGCGTCTTGCTTCTCCACCCGTATGAAGCTGCGTATCGTCCTCAGGACTTCCCGCATTCAGGGGCTGCCGGGGGTGGAGGGGGCAGAGCAGACCATGTAGCGTTCCCCACTGGGTCTCGCCGCAGAGGAAAGGGGCGCAGAGAGGTCGAGGTGTTGCTGAGGCTACACGGCGAGCCATGGCAGGGCGGATCCACCCGCCGCCTCAGCCCTGTCAGGGGCTTTCGCTTCCCCTTCGCCATCTTGCTCTCATTGTGGTCTGCATCTTAGTCACTCAACAGACACTGCCTCCCCGCCTAGGTGCACAGCACTGAGCTCTGGGGTATAAGGATGCCCCTCCCCTCAGAACTGTCGGAAGTGCTGGGGCTGGATGTGGAGTACGCAGTCTCACTCAAGTGGTGGATTTCAGGGCAGACCGGGGAGCAGGGATGGCTCTATTTGGAGAGACCTTGGGAAGTGGCCTCAGAGTTAGGGTGTCAGGGCTCGGTTGTCTGAGTGGTCACAGGCTCCAATCCACATGCCCAGGCCTTGACCCTGGCCTGTATCCCTCAGCTTCTGTGTCTCCCTGCCCTGCCTTCTCAGTATGGTGTTCTTCCTGGGAGCTCCCAGAGACAAGGCTGGGAGAATGGCCATGTTTCCGGACAGCGCCTGTCCTCCCTGTCTGAGCCAGCCCCAGTTAGAAAGCCCAGTGCCCCTCAGCTTGTGGATGGAAACCCCCCCTCGGCTGCTGGTCGGGGAGACAATCTGCCCTGGGTCCTCCTGGGGCACTGGGAGTGGAGGAAGGGGAAAGCAGTCCCTCCTCTGCCACCCCCAGGGTGTGAGGACTGAGCCGCTTGCGTTGCCTTGCTGGGTCCCTCTGCACCAGACAACATACCACAGGGGCATCTCAGAGACAGGAATGGGAGGTCCCCAGAGACCTCCCGGAACGCCTGTCCTCAGTGAGAAGACCTGTTGATGACAGCTTCCTGCCGACATGCTTGTGCCCATAGCCACCCCTCCTGGCATGGTCCTCCTTTGTCACTTCTAGTTTGAGTTTTGGAGTAAATCCAGAAACTTCTTTGGGGTAGACCCCCACCTTCCTGAGTGTCTACATGAAAAGGCTGCACTTGCCCTCCAGCCACTGTTTGAGTCAGTCCACAGGCAGGATGGGGTCCTGGTGTGGCAGAGCGGACACCGACCCCCTCACCGTCTCCTCTGTTTTCTTACAGCTCACCTTGCAGAGCGCCAAGTCCCGAGTGGCCTTCTTTGAAGAGCTTTAGCAGGTGACCCTCCTCAGGACCTGCCACCGTTGCTCCTGGCACCAGCGGGACGGGTCAGACGCTGTGGGGACCCACCCTAGGTGGGCTGGCTGGCAGCTTCCGTGGAAGCTCCAGAACTTTCCCCAGCTGAGCGCAGAGCCCAACCCACTTCATGTGCAATTGCCTTGAACTATGACCCTGCAGAGACTTCCCTCTCAGGGCTCTAGTTCTCCTGACCCGAGTCTTTTCACTTTTTTAAAGAAGTATTTGTCTTTCCTATTCTAATGTGGGCTCTTAAGCTTTCTTTGTCAAAGGCGCCCTGGTGCATGTCTTTCTTAATGTCCAGGGCTGTTTCTTGGTGCAGTCTGGGACATGGGTGTAGGGAGTGAAGCGCAGAGGTGCCCTGGAAGCAGGGAAGGCCCACGCTACCCCCACCCTGCCCAGGGCTCGGGAACGTCCGTTTCCATAGACAAGGAGCTCTCAGGCCGTGAAGAAGCAAGGCCTGCTGAGCCCAGACCCAGAAAGGCCTGCCCGCGGCCTGTCAGCCACACATTGACATGAGCTGCCCGCAGCCCATCACGGGAGCAGTCCTGGAGCCCAGGCCCCCTACGGAAGTGCTCTCGCTGCCAGCTGGTGGGGAATGGGAAAGGCAAGCTGTATCTGGGGAAGGAGTCTAGGCAGAAGCTGTGACGAGGGGCAGGCTGCCAGCAGAGTAGCTTGGACGCTAGGAGAGCCGTCCTTGCAGGGATCTGCACCCGACGGAACAGTCGTCTCCCTTTGGCCCTAGCCTCCCCTGCCCGTGTGGCAGGGGGACTCCCTGCCTTGCCCTCGTTGGTACCAGGTGACTGGCTGGGAGCTAGGGCTCCGCAGCACTGACCACATGGCGAGCCCTTCTCTGGCTCCAGTCTGTGCTGCAGTCTCTCGGCAAGAAACTGCTGATCAGTCTCCTGCCCTCTGGCCGTGTGCCAGCGAGCCCTGCCCCACCCACCACGGTACTGGGCCTCATTTGGCCGTTGCCCTTGTTTCTCGGTTGTCGTTAGGTGCTGCCCCGTGAATGCTGACTTACAGCGACCCCACATGACACAGTGGAACTGCCCTGTAGGGTTTGCTTGGCCATAATCTTTAAGGAAACAGACTGACAGCTCTGTCTCCTGGGGAGCCACCCACTTTACAGTTAGCAGTCGAACACGTCACAGTTTGCACCACCAGAGCTCCCTTCATACACCCCCACGGGGGCTGCACGGGGTCCTCCCCGTGAGGTCCTGGAGCAGCGTGGCCCCTGAGAGCAGTCTCTGCACACGGCCCTCTCCACACCGGAGCAACGGCCGCTCACAAAGCCCACTCACGACTCAGTCTCACTCCCAGGTCTGGGGCTGCCTTTTCTCTCCGTGGCTGGCGTTGCTGCCGTGAACGGTGAAAGCCGTTGGGGCCGCTCTGATTGGGCCACAGTGCACAGAGCAGGTGACAAATCTTAAATCAGCAGAAAGATGCTTATTAAGTGCAGGCATGCCTGGCGATTCTGTGTGGTGGTGACGCCCCTGTGCAGATCCTCCCTTTGTTCCTGCTCGGCCATGGCCTTCTTGGCCTGCCTTACACCGAGGGGGCCAGCGTTCTCCCTCACGTGTGTCACACCAGCCACCTGAGGACATGCAGGCGAGACTCCGCATCTGGCACTGAGCCTGGGTGGGTGTGGCTCACAGAGCCACCTTGGGTTTCCTTCTTGAGCGGCGTCCCCCGCACCCCTAGACGTGCTCGCAGCCGGCAGAGTAGCCTTCAGTTACTGAGCCCGCGGCGTTTGTAAAGCGAGGCCTGGCGCCCCCAGCTTCGGCGCCTGCACCTGGGTTTCCACCACGCGTGCCTTTACTCCTGGCCCGTAAATTTCATCTTCAACAGTGGCTGCGGGGCACAGGCGCGTGGTGGTGGTTTATAAAAACATTGTCGGGCTTTATTTTTATTTAACTGCGGTGTGTGTCTGAAGTGGAGAAATGCCAAGCCGTCTGGCCGCAAGGGAGCCGGCTGGCGTCTGAGCCGTGCAGAAGGGCCTTCGGCCCGGAACCCGCTCACAGGGTGGGCAAGACCATCTCAGCCAGGCACGCTCCGGCCAGGCCCAGAGACGAGAGCTAGTGGGCACCTCCCCAAAGATGGTTCAGACGGGAAGGATGGTGGCCCTCAGACAGGTCTCAAGCCCCAGTGGAGAGAGAGTGCAGCTTGGTTTTCCAGGACTCGTGCCTGTGGCTGACGGGCCCCCGAGCCTGTCAGGGAGGCCTCCCAGCGCGTCCGGAGTGGCGCTCTGGCCGTGCTTCTGTGTCTGGGCAGGAACGTTCATGAAGTCCCTGCCTGGCGGTACTGCCTTGTGGGGCTGCCCACCTCGTTCACCCTGATTGAGGCCTCACCTCAGAGCCACAGAACTGCTCTGGCCCATGGTCTGCCCTCAGTTATTCATGTCTCCGCCAGGCCCAGCTGGGCAACACTCCGTGGCATTACATAACACTTCTTGAGTGATTGTGTTTTGCTCCCTCCCCCTCCCCCCAATCAAAAAATGGCAAGTCCAGAGGCTGACGACCAGCAGCAGTGACTGAATGTCCCTCGCTGACTTGGCTGGGGCCTGTGGCCCCCGGGGCAACCTTGACAGAGAGGCAAGCCCCTCCAGCTGCTCTGGGGCCACGTGCAGCTTCTCTCGGGCTTCCAAGAAAGGTCAGTTTGCAAAGGTGTCACTCGGCCCTCCTTCCTTGGGGTTCTGAACCCACCTGTCAGGGCCAGTCCACGGAAGGCTGTCTTCTATTCCAGGGGGATTGTTGTAATTTAATGATTGTTTTAATAAAAATTCTAAGCTGTAAAAAGTTTACCTCGGGCTTCGTCAGTTTACTTAGTTGAGGGGCTGCTTCTCGCGGGGCTCTGAGGAAATGGCACCTCTGTGTGCTGCAACTTCGGTCCTTCGGTCACCTCCTTCTGTGCTGACAGTAGCACCTCTTATTATTCCTGTCCCTGAGGCCCCCTCCTCGCTCCCTGTGATGGCTGTGGGGTTCTGGAGCCTCCATTTCCTATATGCGCCCCCGCCTGCCCCTAGTTCGAGACCTGAAAATGAGGCCACTGGGCTGAGTGTTGTAGCTTCTGGGTTTCCCCATTCTGGGCTGGGGTGAAGGCATGTAGAGCCACTGGGGCCCCAGTGCTGAACACAGAACAAATAAGGCACAGCTCTAGTCACAGGGCCGTGTGCGTGACATTTCCAGCTAAGGTTGGGAACTACCGATGCAAAGCTTAGCTCTGTTTTTTACTGTTTTTGATGAACAAAAGTCACTTAAGACAAAGACTAGAATACTTCTGTCCCAATGCACTGCAGCCCAAAACCAGCGATGCGGGTCATAGTGTGTTGACAGGACTCCTGTGGGCCTAAGGGGCCATAGTACTGCCAGCTAACACGTCAATCCACAGCACAGGCCAGTCAGAGAAACAACAGAGGAGACAAGTTTTTTCCAAAAGGTTTGCAATAGATATTACTAGGTTGTTTTTTTAAGCTTTTATAAGCATTGGTCATTTTAAAGGAGCTCTGGTGGCATAGTGCCTAAGGCATTTGACTGCTAACCAGAAGGTTGGCAGTTCAACCCCACCAGCTACTCCTCGGAAGGAAGGTTGGGCAATCGGCTTCTGTAGAGATACCGCCTCGGAAACCCAAGGGAAGGGTCGCTATGATAAGTCAAGCTGACTTGATGGCAGTGAGTTAGGTTTGGTCTGGTCATTTTTAAGCTATCCCAGCAGTAGTTTTTATCAGCATCATTTTTAAGACAACATCCCAAAGTCTCTCAGTCAGTGGAGTGGAGTGAACACCCCCGTGTGTTTTGGTTTGGGGGAACTCTAATGAGTTTTCTGCAAAGTGACTCCTCAGGGGTAGTTGTGGCATTGGCAGTACCCCCGGCTGGGTCATTCTGGGCCCCCTTGCCCAGACCCACATGAGCCTCCGCCTGTAGTGCTGTCTGCTGGCAGCTGCTCTCCCGAGTAGCCCACCCCAGAAGCCTTCACTTTGGAGGAGCGGATAAGGAGCCACCCACGTGTTACGAGGAGCTGGCAGCAAAACTCGGGGGGGGGGGAAGGTGTTGGTGAGAAGATTGCGGTAGCTTTGTCTAATCCAATTTCTTGCCAGTCTGGGAAAGAGAACATTGAGCCGTGCTCATATCCCAGGCTTCCCCCAGATAGCCCAAAGCTTCGTCTCCTCGCCCTGGCAGCCTGTCATTACTGCATTACGGCAGGAGCCTGGAGGCAGCTCAGGAAAATCGGCCTGCTTCCCGGCAGCCAGGACTCGGGCCGGTTAGAGGGGAACCCCGCACTGTCCTCACCCAGTCCCCACTGGCACCCATTTCTCAAGGGGGTGGTGGCCCCAGAATGGTCCCTGGGGAGCTGAGATCCGGGCATCTCCTGAAGAGCTGGGCCGGCAGCGGCAACGGTCAGAGGATGCCGGCCACTGGTCGAGCTCGGCCCTTCCCACAGGGCCAGCACCTGCCTCCTTACACCCTGGACTTCCTTGGACATGTCAGGATAAATGAACTGAGGCAAAAGTACTCAGGACTTTTCAGAAAAAAGGGGGTGTGGATGTGTGGCTATCAGTTCCAAATAGCAGGCAGGCTGAACCAAGAAACAAGTCTTTGTTGTGACCAGCCGGGGAGCGAGTGGGAAAAGGACCCAGCCCAGTGCGTAAGAACTTCTTGCTAGCTCCGGACCATGGTCACAGGGGACATCAAGCTCAACTGGTGTAATACACTACACAAAAACATTGCTCTACATACTGCTTCGGTGAGTAGCGACGGGGCTCTTGAAAGCTTGCAGGTGGCCATCTAGATGCAACAATTGGTCTCTCCTCATTCAGAGCTAAGAAGAGTGAAGACAAGCAAAGACACACAGAAACAATCAGTCCAAGGGACTAGTGGGCCATGTAAACCTCCGCTTATATGACTATGAGAACAGAAGAACTAGATGATGCCTGGCTACCGTTGGCAACCACTCGGAAAAGGATCAGTGCAGGAGATCCTGGATAGAGTGGGAGAAAAATGTGGAACAAAACTCAAAATCATTAAAAAAAAAAAAAAAAAAAGTCCAGGTTTACTGGTCTGATGGAGCCTGGTGAGACCCCTGACACTATGACACTGGCCCCTATTTACCCTTCAGGCCTTGAATTGAACTCACTCCTGTGGCTTCCAGCCAAACAATAGGCATACAGGGTGAACATTTACGTCAGGTAGATACACTCCTTGGAGTGATCAATTGTGGGAGAACAGAAGGGCA